TCAGGAAGCAAATGCCAGTGTGCACGGTAGGTTCTCCAACAATCTCCTGACATACGTAAAATTACTGTTAATAACAGTAAAAGCCTTATTTTCTTTGGCACAGCTAGGAAATGCAGAAATTTGTTGCTAATAGCAGCCAAAATGTGTCATTTCTTAATATTTTCCATTTTCATTTGCATCCAATTCTGAATTCATCTGCGCTGCACTTTAGTATGCCTGAAGAAAATGAACTTCTCTTTTGTGTTTTCTTTTATCTGAATTTTGAAGCAATAAAAAATACATCTATATTGCTTCTTAATAAATACTTTAGTGATGACATTTTTCAACAGATCCAAGAGAAAGGAAAAGGACAGGAGAGTCAGGAAAGCAGCAGAAATGACCAAGTAGAGAATAAAAGGCAGCTTGCAGTTAAGGGTCATGCTTCCCAGATCAAAAAAATCCCAGAATTGTAGAGTGCATAATTAATCTGTGCAATTAGACAAGACATTAGAGCATGCAAACAGATGCAGAGGAATTTAGTAGAGGTTTAAGGATCCTGAAGCAGACCAACACGAACCTCACCTCTTCTGTTTTCGCATATAGTTACGGGACCCTATCCTCCCACAGACTCTACCTGCTGCTACCTGACCTTATTGAGCTCTCATTATATTACTAATAGAGGCACAATAGTAACCTGAAGGAAGATTGTAAAACTGAAACACTTCAGTGCATAAACACCGACACAATGGGAGGATTATGTGACAGAGAAACTCTAGCATGGAAACTACCAGTAACAGGTATGCAAATGGAGCTTTAAAATGTGCAGTTTCACTGAGTGAGATTTTCCCTTAAGAACACCTTTCAAAAGATTAAAATAAACCTTTCTGTTGCTGTAAATAGTTTGTGTGAATATAGGTTGTAAATAGTAGCAGAGAAAAGTGTGCATGTAATGGTATGCTAATTAGCCATGCACTGGTGTTGCTTATGCTAATTAGCCAAGTGAAGCCAGTTCAGGCCTTGTTGAAATATGCTAGCTCTGTCAGAGCTGTAAGACTTAAGTTTTATTGCCTGAAGATTCTTTAAAAAAAAAAATCATAATATTATTATTTTTTAAATATCCTAATGAAGTGAAAATACTTTTGATTTAACAATTTTTTTAAAATATCAATATAGTACAGAGACAGTTCCTTAAAGTTTGAGTGAGAAAGCTGGTGATTGAATTAACATTGTGTCAAAGCAATGAAAAATGATCCACAGTTTCATTTGCACAGACAGCCGCTGTGCTACACTGTGTGTGAAGATGGGGGTGGGGTGCGCTTCCTTTTAAGCTGATAAGGGAAAAAATAGGGAGTGAAACAGAGTGAGGCAAGCTGATGACGAAAAAGGGGATCATAAGATGCGGTAGTGAAGACTGATGAAATCCTTGGTCATGGTAAACACTCTTTGCAGGGAGAGAGATGAAAAGAGGAAAAGATGGAGGTAGAGCAGACAGACAGAGCAGTGAACAAAACGGCAATAAAGTGGATTTAATGAAAGCACCTCAGCAGAGAGACAAAGAGCAGGGGGAAGGAGGTTGGCCTTAATGGGAATGCATGTTAAGAAAAGGGTCAAAGTTCAAGGTCACTTTTTCTGTCTGAAGTAAGAATGGACGATATGAGACTATTTTCACAATACTATTATGCTTATATGGTTATTTTTTAAAAACCTACATCGGTGGTGGAAAATGAATAAACAGCTTCCCAAATCACTGTTTCCATGGTGATGAGGTGAAGTCATGTGTAAAATGAAGTGAGTATTGCATGGTTGTTTACGTCAAAAATGGGATTACTAATGATCAGTATCTGTCTGCTGATTTTGATAAATATCTGAATGACTTCTGTGTTCTCAAAATGCTTTTCTAGCTATAAATATAACTTTTCGGTAGATTTTCAATATGATGCCCAAGCCACTTTGTGGCAAAATATCACGAGTGGAGATGAGGGTTGTGGATATTCTGTGTAGCACACCTGATTTTTAATCACGGATCAGTCTTTCTGATCATTAGATATTAGAAGCCAGGACTAAGATACAGATGCTGAGATAAAGTTCGCGACTAGAGAACTAGTTCAGTTCATTTTTATTCAGTGCATTACAATAAAAAAGACTTGAGCCACCCCTTTTTTCTTTAAATTTTGCTTCCAAGGAGCCAGACTTTCTTGTACTTTTTTAAAGGTGCTCTAAACTAATTGTTCTCCAGCCTTTCTAAAAAAAATTTATAGGTTTTCTATGGACATTTGCTGATTTTTCACACATTTTCAGTGTCCTTGTACCAATTTTCAGGGGATTGTTTTTTCTGATAAGTCACTTAACAATGACATAACACTGACCTTTTTATGCTTGAATGACTAAAACATTTAAAAAAGCACGTAACTCAAGGTAGGAACAACTGTTGCGTCTACATGTGAAAAGCTAGCAAAGAACCAGCTTTAAATCCTCTTAGCTAGCAGACGCCAAAGGACATCATTTGTTCCCAGTTCTTGTTGAATCTACAAAAAATGTCAACAACAGGCTGCCAACATCTTCAGAAGACTTTCAAATGTCCCTCGAGAAGCCTTGAAAACTGTTCATGAAAGCTACTTAAAGAAGTGACAAAAAGGCTTGCCTAAGAGAGTTGAGGCTGTGTTGAAGACAGGTGGTCATACCAAATACTGACTTTAAAGCATTCTTTTTTACTTTATATACTGTATAGGCCTGCATGTTTGCATATGTCTCAATTTTCAAATTCCCTAGTGAAATATACAGACTTTCGCAAAGTACTATATATTTGCAAGTATTATTGGTACTGTGGCACACTTGAAGACTGATAAACTTGGGCCTTTAGTGAACAGAAGCTCTCTGGAACATCAGTAAAATCATGGTGGGATAGCTTTTGGCTCTTTGGATCCTGAAACATGTTAGCACACAGACAATTAACAGACACAGATGTGAGCAGCCCAAGTTTGCTGCCAAAATGGCACAAGCCTTAAAACACACATTAATGCGCATAAGGGCGGGCATGACAGCGACGGTGTCGTATGGACGGACAGGGACTGATTTGATTAGAATTCAGTGCCACATTTTGCCCCCACATCTGTCATAATATCATATAACAAACATGCAATTGGTTTTCTGTTTGAGGAATAACTGAGATAGATTTTCACGTCTGCTTCAACCCCTCGCCCCAATCCATCTTTCTTTGAATACATAGTGCATCGGGCGGTGTCTCCAGCTGATGGTGATAAGGAGAGATTGGATTTTACATGTGTAATCACTGGTTATGAGATGTTAATTGTACAGAGCGGTGTCCTGTGGGATGTAACATTAGATATGTGCATGCACACACGCACGCACACAAATGCACTCAAGCATACACTTAAGTGTTGTGTAACTGTGTCCACGCAGTGTTTGTGTAGACTAGCTGTGTTTGTAGCCCAATTATTGTCATTTTAGGCGGATGGGATAATCTGCATAAAAACTCATCCTGACTGTGATTGTGGAGTAGACGCTTTTCTAGCAAGCAGAACAGTTCTGGATAATTTGCTGACTGATGTTAAAGAACCCATGTGCTCTACTCTCTCAGGCCTCCTGGAGTTCTCTCCTGTCCTCCTGCGATACTTCATCTCAGGTATGAGTTCATCGTCTTTAGTTAGATCCTGTAGTGTAAATTGCCAACAAATTGTCAAAGTCCCTTGGCTCACGGATTGTAAAGAAGGTTCCTTTTGTCTTCCTTTTATGTTAAGTGGGAGGAAAAGACAATGAAGCGAGGAAAACGAGGAATGGTAATACTCGCTGATGTCTTGTGGTGCTTGGGTGCCTTTGCACTGTAGCTTGTTGGAAGCTTGGCAAGCTGTAGCGCATTAGCCGAATCCACCTGTGGAGCTTTATACTTGCCTCTGCTCTCTAGCCTAGTCCATCTGTTTGCCTGAGTAGAAGTATAGAGCCTTTCACCACTTCCCTGGCTGCGTTTCCCTCCGCATTACTTTCAGCACAACTCTCGAGTTCCGCCGAGCCTGTGAAGAGGGGCCGTGAAGATCCAGCAGACGATTCTCATCTGTTTAATTCCTCTTTCTGTGATTGCGTCCGTACGCCTGATGAGTCACAGTTAACCCAGTCACACAGCTGTGCGATTCCCAGCGCGCTGATTCATATAGTGTGCCGCCACAATGCCAACCTCTCCCTCTGCTCGCCTCTTCCTTTACCCTCCCTCACAAACTGCTAATGAAGTGAATCACAACTGTTTTTCCCCCGATCCCTTTACCCCAACAGCTGATGGTGAGCGATTGCATCCACAATACTCTTTTAATTAGTATAGAGAATAAATTGGTTGAGCATGCCTTTTTCCTTAATTGCTTTTTCCTCAGCTTGGATTTAATTGGGCCGCAGCTCTGTTTATTGATCTCCTTTGATGTGCTTTAATTTGGATAATTTTATATATTTATTTTGGACGTGACGAGTCGGTTTGTCTTGAGGGGGAGAGTGTTAGGCGGTGGGGCTGTTGCTGCAGCAGACTGCGGTACATTCGGCAAGCCTGGGGTCCAGCGTGCAATGGCAACTAGGTGGGGAGATGATCAAACCCAGAAGGCAACGAAGCAGCCCCACTAAAGTCTGAGAGGCCTCAAGTGAGCAACTCTTTGATCTCACATCAACACCTCATGAATGCCAATGTGGATCAGTAAAGCAAGGCAGCCGGGCCTTCTCAGCCAGCCTTAACAGGCTTGCAGGCCAGTACATATTTCTTCCAGCAGCTAGTTTTTATTTTGTGCCTGATTCATGCTGCGTCATCTCTCCCCCTCCTGCCTGCCACAACAAAGCGCAATTTTCCTCCTCCGCCTCCGTGGTTTCATAATTAGTGTGCTTCTCTGCGTGTGATGGTGGGTTTGTTTTCCAGACGTGCGTGAGCATTTGCTTGTGCGAGCATTCGTTTGTGCTAGTGCGATCAGTTTTGCTGCATTTACGCACATTATTCTCAGCAATCCCCTTAAACCCATCTTTCTCCTTCGCAGGGGGCAACTTCACCCTGGCTGAGCTTGGAGTGTGCGAGCCGTCTCCCCCTCCGCACCCCGCCGCTGTTCCCTACTGTCCCGACCTCGGCCTACTCCAGCGGGGTTACTCCCTTAGCGCTGGCTCTGACGCCGACTCAGACCCCGAGGGGCCGCTGTCTCCAGAGCGGGCCATCCAGCTGTGGGCCGGACGAGGAGGGGTAAAGTCCCGCCGAAGCTCAGGAGTGTCCAGTCGCGAGAACTCAGCCCTCACCCTCACTGACTCTGAGAATGATAACAAGTCCGATGATGAGTCAGGTAGGACAAAGGACTCTCAGAAGTGTTTCATTTATTAAAGTTGAGGCCCATGATCTGAGAAAAAAGGTGGAAGAGTATGAATTCGATGAGAATGCGTGAACATAGTGAGGCTGATGCTCTGGGCTGATGTTATATGAAATGGGATCATGAAAGGGAATGTATGCATAAATCTTACACAATATTGTGAAAACCTCTCTCCGACAGACAGCCATTGCTTGAATTGCGAGAGAGTTGGATTTATTGATTAAGTCTGTTTGTGATCTGAAGAACAGTAGTTGGACACCCCCCCAGAGGGCCTCTTTATTTTCATCAATAGCACTTAGCCAAAACCCTCTAACTCCACCCTTTTAAGCCACTTATCTGCTGATATCTCACCACTGGTCTGTCAGTCTTCAAAACAAGAAGATAAAAAAAAAAACTTCTGAGCTTTTTTTGGGGGAGCGCCGATTGCATTTTAGCTTTTGTGAGAGGAGCTAATCTCGCTTCTCCAATTGCATCTTTTCTCTAAATCGCCCCGTGACTGCGAGAGTGCGTTTCTCCCAGGGGAAATCTCATTCCTCCGGCATCTTTGTTTATTGCCAACTTCCCATTTCCTTGTTAATCCTGACGCAGTCGTAAACCCGCGCACGGGCCTCACTGAGGTGTCAATGGAGGTTAATGAAAAGTGGATGGAAGGAAGAGCAACAGTCTAATTAATTGAATTCTCGGCAGCCGCACATATCAGCTGTGGATCAACCTCTGTTGGACTGTGAGCCTCAGAATCCGAAACAACTTCTGTCGACTGATCAAACTACTCAACACCCATTAAACACGTCAAGAAACACCTTCCCTGAGATGCGCTTCTCTTCCAACCACCCGATAATTGCTTTGTGGTTAATTACCAAGCTAATCTTGCAGCCACAGATATCAGCTGCAGACGCCGCTCTCACTCTCTCTGTTTCAGGGCCAGAGGAACAGCATTGAGCACTCTGTCGCCTGTTTTTCAGGACCTTGTAGAATTAGCTTCTTAATCCACCTCTGTATTGTGATAATCACTTGCATGCAGTATGATGTCACCGAGTGTCGATTGTTCAGGCGATCAAAACATGTCGCTTGTCAGTGTCGCAACATAAACGTTGTCAAAAAAGTAGTATTCAAGTCTATTTATACGCTCCTGGGGGGGTCAGACATTCATACTTTTGATTATGCAGTACACGTCTCAAATCAAAGTAATTTTAATTTAATTCCACTTCAAAAGTTTGCCTTCTATAGAAGCATTAAGGGAAACCACCATCTCACACCTTTAGGCCCGTCTCGTGGTTTCACAGACTGTAGATTTAGATCAGGCGTCTGCACTGGTGTCTCTGCCAGCATGAAGAGATCAGAGGCAACGCAGCAGCCTGATAGAAAGACGAGTGTACGTGTGTCTGATCAAGTAAATCCATTAGTTATTTAGTCTCTCTGAGTGATGAAATCTCACCCTCTGCTCCTCCTTCTGCTTCCAAACAAAACACCAGATACAGCCGCACGTCACATTTTAAAGCGCCCGCCGAACCTTAGCATTAAGCGCATGTTGATCTTGTGTCGATTTTGCACACGTGCATATATGTTTCTGAGTTTGACATGTGTCCTATATCGTTTGTCTATCGGCGTGAGAGTGTATAAGTCTGAACCGTGTGAGTGGAAGTGTGAAACAGGAGCAGCGAGAGTGTCAAAACAGCAGGAGGAGGATCTGAGGGTCTAATAATAGAGATTGACAGAAGCAGACAGAGAAACAACATCATAAACACATGCTAACAAATCAAAAAGACGGTGACGTGCCAAAACACCAAGCAGCATGCTGCACCGCTCTCATCTCGCCGTGTCTCTAACAATCTTCAGAAGTCTCACCTCCACTTGCTTCTCCTCCTCCTCCTCCTCCTCCTCTTCATCTCACTCCTCTCCCATCTTTCTTCTCCAGCTTTCAAGCTTCCTTTTGTGTCTTTCTGTTCGCTCGCACAGCGCCTCTCACCAGCTCTCGTTACGCTCCTGTCAGTATAGCTTGGCAGTGTGACTGACAGGTTTCAGTTTGAGGGTCTAAGGTTCCCCTTCAGGGTGCATGTGGATGAATGTCTGCGTGTGCCCTATTGCAGATTTCACTACCAAAATAGAAAACCCACAGAAACCGTGACAGATATTACAAACCTCCAGGTTATTACAATTTGTGTTTGTGTGAGAGTTTGTGTATTTTATTTTTTTATTCATTTTTTATTTTTTGTTGACAGCAGGGCAACTGACTGAAGAGTCAGTGAAGTATATATTTACAGATTTCTTTTACTTCACATCTGTGATCTTTGTTTTTCCATTCTATGTCGTTATAATGGCGAACAAACAAAATACACACGTTTCCCTAACCGTGTAGTTGGACACCCGTATATCTGAGTGCCTAACTACATGTACTATTTTTGTATCTTTGTTCCTGGAGGAGGTGAAAAGCCTGGAAAACAATCAAAACAAAAGCTGAGTCAATAACAAATTAAAAAGTGTTATCTTTTTTATAGCAATCACGATTCCTGGTGCCTTTGTTAGTCTCAACACAATCAGCACTTCAAACTGTACATACACCTAAGGAGATGTTACATTAGAGAATCTTGAATACAGGTTTTTTTTTTCCCCATTTTTTTACATTTACAGCCACTGCATAGATAAACAAAGTGCACAACAAGTGTCACTATGTGTGATCTGAAGTGTTTGCAAAGCGAACTATATTTATGATTTGGGATAAAAACTGCATTCAAAAAAAGATTTACCCCACCCGTGCTTTTAAAATGGCTGTCAGTGTCTCACGTTGGGAAATAGGCTGTATCCCAATTCAGGGCCTGCAGCCTTAAAGGCCGCATTTTAAGGCCGATTACGTCAC